CACTTTCTTTAGATCTAGAGTATTAACATTCACACATCATTTTCACTGACTTGCACTCATTTGGGTCCTGATTCCATTCGACTAGTACATTCTCAATAATTTATATTTAAAGGCATAGTGAGAGACCTGCATACAGCTACCATGTATTCTCCAATGTATATTCAGACGATTAATAGTTTTTCAGCCTAATCCAAGATAATGATCCAAGATAATTGATAGAGAGGATCAACATTTGCCTTCAATAGACATAAACAATGGAACAGTTAAGGAGAAGTCTTCTGTAAGGCTGCTGTACCAAATCCATGTACTTGTAAGATGATCCTCAAAACTTAGACGTTTTCTTCCTTATAATTGCCAGCAGGGCAACATGCCCGCGTGCAGATATCCGTGCTGACATTGGCAGCAGTGCGTTGGAAACTTGTGGATGGTCACCGTGGAGACGGCAGGGCCAAATTTCTGCCTTTGGATCTTAAAGCATTTTTGTCCGAATAACAGAAGAATTTGGAAATGTTAAACAGTAAACTTGTAGCATGGGAAAAGAAAAGAGACACCAATTACTCCAGTCTTATTGAGCACCCATTGTGGGCCAACTCTGCATAATAGCACTTAGTCCTTTGTGTGCACCATCTCATGTAATATTCATAACGCTGTTGGTACTATTTCAGGCTCATGGACCAGTCTAGAAAGCTCTGGTGCAAAGATGAACGTTTTCTGTTCCCACATTTGTTTCCATGGTTCTCAAAACAATCACACGCAAAAAAAAAAAAAAAAAAAAAAAAAATCGCCATTTTCGAATCCATACCAAAAAGGAGAAATATTGAATAAACGTGCAGAACACCTCTCACATCAACTGGAAAATCTGAATTATCATGCTAATTATGATCATTCTTACGTTCATTAGGAACAGATGTTTCTGATCTGGGTCGGCCGCTGTTTTTGTTTACTTGTTTTTAATTCTGCCCCATTAGCTCCATCAGTAAATTAATAAGATGAGGAGATACCATCTCTGTGTTCCTGTCCCTCACGGTTCAAGGGTGTGGTGGGTGGCACACAGATCATGAGAATCACATGAGCAGGCAGCCCCTACTTTGTTATCTGAATCTTGCGTCCTACCCTCTGTTCACATGGGAAGCTTGAATGGAGCTGATTTGATTATACCATGGCGCAAACTAAGTCACGGTGATTTCCTAGCGAGCAAGCAGTAAACACTTGACGGATTTAATAAAACTATTTCTCCTTGGAAATTTCAGCCCCTGTGGGCCAAGTGATTTGGGTGACTAAGTACTTGCAGCGTGCTGTAATATATACATTTTGTTGAAAGAGGAAGACTAGCAAACGCTCCATTGTACTTGTTATAGCTCCCTTCACATACTTCTTTGATTCCAAAGTTAGGGTTGGACCTAAACTTAGAGATTCAAAAGTCAACGAGGTAAGACACATCCAGCGGCTCACAGAAAAATGAACCGTGAAACCGAGTCAGGGAGAAAAGCCTAAAGAATGGACGCTTTCGATGTTACAGCATTTAAAAAAAATTAACTAGCTACAAATGTGTGGTACTTCGATCCCGAAACCATGGCCTTCCTTGTGAGTTTTATCTGGAAAGTTCTTAGATTGAGACACTCTCCTGACTGAGAGGGAATAATTTATTTGACGTCCGCGATTGTCACTTAAACTTTGGGGTTGTACTTTTCCTAGCTGGTGTTTTCAGTTTTCCACCTTTTGTTAGACGGTCTGTTAGGAAGCACCAGTGTCTGAAACGGCACTGGATACACACGTTTCTCTCTCTGACGCACATTTTTGTTTAATTGTGATAGAATACACATGATGTAGCATTTACCATCATAATTCATGTAGAGATTTTTAATTTTTATTTTTTAAGATTTATTTATTTGAGGGCGCCTGGGTGGCTCAGTTGGTTAAGCGACTGCCTTCGGCTCAGGTCGTGATCCTGGAGTCCCGGGATCGAGTCCCGCATCGGGCTCCCTGCTCGGCGGGGAGTCTGCTTCTCCCTCTGACCCCCCTCCCTCTCATGCTCTCTGTCTCTCATTCTCTCTCTTGCAAATAAATAAATAAATAATCTTAAAAAAAAAAGATTTATTTATTTTAGAGAGAACGAGCACATGAGCAGGGGGAGGGGCCGAGGGAGAGGGAGAGAGAATCTTCAAGCAGACTCCAAGCTGAGCACAGAGTCCGACTCGGGGCTCAATCCCAGGACCCTGAGATCATGACCTGAGCTGAAGCGAAGAGTCGGACGCTTAACTGACTGAGCCGCCCGGGCGCCCCCATAGGCAGATTTAATGCAACACCATTTGGGAAACGAAGCAGGAGAAGCACAGTAGAACAATTTGCGTTGGTGGTGGAGTTATCCAGAGTCCCTGGGAGAGGTCCTTGTGCTGAAGTTACCATGTTTGGGCTTTTCAGTGAGATTTCTGGTCCCCATCAGCGTGCAGAGTAACAAGCCTGTAATTAACCGTCTTTTTGGAAACGAGGTAGAGACCTTCCTTTTTGTCCTCCCCACTCCTTAAACCAGGGACTTGGATGATGGTGAGATTTTTTTTCTTTTCTTTTCTTTTCTTTTTTTTTTAAGATTTTATTTATTTGACAGAGCAAGAGAGCACAAGCTGGGGGAACAGAAAAGGGTGAGGGAGAAGCAGGCTCCCTGCCAAGCAGGGAGCCCAGCACGGGACTCGATCCAGGACCCTGGGATCATGACCTGAGCCGAAGGCAGACGCCTAACCGTCTGAGCCACCCGGGTGCCCCTTTTTTCTTTCCTTTTTAACCCCGTGTTAACACACCTCTCCCATTGTGTGAGATACTCTCTGGCCAGTAGCCCTCACTCTTCACTAACGTCCTCTGGCCGGGCTCCCTGGGGATCAGCGATCCGACTGGAGGCTCAGAGTCCATCGGTGGGAAGGCGCAGGCCGCGGGCTGGCAGGCTTTACCAGGTGTCAGCGGATGGTGGAGAGCCACGGGCAGCCGTGCGGCAGCAGGTGTTGCCGGGTGTCATGCAGGTGTACCCCAGGTGGGACTGGTGCTCGCAGTCATGAGTGCCTGGGGCTCACCCATGTACTGGCTTGTGGCCCCCGATCCTCACGTTTCACCCCTGGTCTGTGCTCGCCTGCGCTGCCATACGGATTTCTTCCATCCTGACTCGGATTTGACATCCCACAGTAAACACCTACCCTCCTTGACCATCTCCTCCGTCCACCATGGAGAAAGCGCGGGCTTCACCGGGGTGCCAGACGCCGCTGTTTGTACAGCTCTGGGTGGACTGGGTTGTCACGGCCAACCGAGCGCAGCCTCACGCGAGGTCCGACTCCGTGCACACGGCGGGGCGGGGGGGGGGTGGGCGTCCAAGGCGGGCGTCCGCGCACCCCCTCCAGGGGTCACTCAGCATGCCAGTCTCGGGGCCCTGGCCTCGGGTAGGCCTTTGGCATTGCCCGCGTCCCGCCGGGGAGGAGGAGGAGGAGGGTTTGGGAGTGCCGGACCCCCTGCCTGGAAACCTGCTTTAGTGGGGACAGGGCACCCTACATAGAGGGGAGAAACCCTACATACTGGGATTTTTACCTGGCTGGACGGTTGTGCTGCGGTGAACACGGGCTTGGAGGGCCTGGCTTAGGATTAGGGTAGCAATCTTGGCAAGCAGCTGTCAAGGCAAAAGGAGGGGTACGCTCAAAGTTAGGATGCCAGCGATCGCCTTGTCGGCCATCGTCCGTCAGCAAAAGGAGGGCCGCCGCGGGAGGTCATTCCTCTGTGCGTCCCTGGTGGTGGGGCTGCTTTTAGGGACCCTCAGCAGCTCCCCACTTGAGCGGCCGAAAGAAGCCCTTATCCTCCGATTGCTTCTCACCTTGGAGCGATAACCAAATGCTGTCCTGAACCATTTTTCCGAAGGAGAAAGACGCACTTGGTAACTGGTTCTTTGCATGCCTCACGCTTTTTCCATAATGCGAGTCTCTCAATAAATCCGGGAATACCTGTTGTCGCTAGTGTGTGATTGATTCTGGGCTCCACGGAAATGCCATCAGCCAGAGGCTGTTCAGAACCTAGCTGTGTCACACAGGTAACACGGATTCACATTCTTCCATCTCATCGTTTATTGATAACTCCATATTGATAAGAGGTCCCATGTGCACATTAGCTCTAGAAGCTGGAAAGTATTAAAATAGGTTCAGTGAACTGAGGCTTAGACTCCTTTTTCATAAGCTTTCAGCCAGTGTTACTGCAGTGAGAATTACCAAGTTTCTGCAGGGCCACAGTTAAGACCACTGTGGTTGCCATTTACCACGCAAACCGGAATGACTCCGTAGAGAATGAAAATCTGTGTATGTGTAGAGTAGTCCAGAAGGGGCCCTCAAATTGCACTGAGGTGCTTTATGAACATTATCAATTATCGGACAACTGCATTTCACTGAGAACGGAATACCTTGTGAACCTGCGTACGTATGATTGGTGTATATCTGTTGCATGCAGTACAAAGTTATAACTCATGGGTCCGAGTCCTTTCAGAAATAAGCGTAAAATATTACTTCTTTAGGGGGAAAAGAAAACAAATCCATTTATTTTGTAAGACATGCCGGGAAATTTTGACCAAGTAAGAATTTTTACCTTCCTTTCTTTTTTTTTTTATTTGAGAGAGAGAGAATGAGTGACAGAGAGCATGAGAGGGAGGAGGGTCAGAGGGAGAAGCAGACTCCCTGCCGAGCAGGGAGCCCGATGCGGGACTCGATTCCGGGACTCCAGGATCATGACCTGAGCCGAAGGCAGCCGCTTAACCAACTGAGCCACCCAGGCGCCCTACCTTCCTTTCTGATATCTTGGAAATCAGGCGTCCTGTGTCTTTAATAAGAGAAGTTTTCTTTTCAGGGCTCCTGGCTGGCTCAGTCCTTACAGCATGTGACTCTCGATGTTGGGGGTGTAAGTTTGAGCCCCACGTTGAGTGTCGAGATTGCTTAAAAAGATAAAATTGTTAAAAAAGAGAATTTTTCGTATTCTGTCTTCAGCCTCTGTTCCCCAAGAAGAACTACGAATGCTTGACTAGCTGTGAGTTCCTCAAGTACATCCTGTCGGTGAAGCAGGGGGACTGCCCGGCTCCTGAGAAAGCCAGCGGATTTGCCGCCGCCTGCGTAGAAGGTTGTGAAGCTGACAATGAGTGCTCTGGGGTGAAGAAGTGTTGTTCGAACGGATGTGGACACACCTGCCAGGTGCCCAAGACGCTGTACAAAGGTAAGGCGCAGAGGCCGTGTGAACAGAAATTCACCAGCTCATGGCGGGGAGTGGTGTACGCGCGGGGAAGGGTGTCAGTCAAAGAAGGCATCCTTGCAAGAGAAGAAAAACGGTAAGAAACGCACTTTGTGCCACAGAGACACGTCTGGAACTATTCCTGGGCCATACAGATCAGCCGTGACGAACTCCTTCTGCGGCAGAGCAGATCATTCTTATTAAATGTACCGTGTAGGAAGGAAACATCACGTCAGGAACTTCCTTGTGCTTTTGTCCACGAAGAGTCAATCAATTAAGCGGCGCTGGGGACATGGGAGCAAATCGATTTAAATCCCTGGAAAATAGGCTGGGGAGGGGGCACCCTTGAAAAACGCGTAACAAATACACGGGTGTCGTGGTTTTCCTATTGGCATAATCCAAGAACAGAAGTGTCATTGTGCGGACTTTCAATATTTTGATTGGTGTCTTGAGAACCCAGATGGAGGAATAGCTCTCTTGCAAAGATGGGGGTTCAGTTTACCAAACAACTTAGCAGACGTAGGACTTTACATTCATAGGCAGTTTCTAGAGTCCTTAACTCCTTGATCCTAAGCGTTAACTTGCCTCTTCCCGTAATTGTGACCCCCTTCTTTTATGCCAAACTGATTCTGTTGTATTATGCCCAGTTTGGGATACCCTCAGAGTATCCTAGGAGACAAAATTTTGCTGCTTTTTAGGGTCTCCTATGAAGAATCAAGAAGAATTCATCACTAGGCATTCTTCACTGCAAGTCGAAAGAGTAATCTCTCTGTCCCTCCTGCTCTCGTTCACTCACACCAAATATATATGATTTCCAAATATAGGTCAGTTGTTTTTAAACCGCATAAAACGGTATTGCTGGGAAGGCCGGTGTTGAAGTGCTGGCTAAATTGTTGTCAGAAGTCTGGTCTCACTCTCACAACGGCCCTCATCTCCCAGATCTCACGTCCCTGCCCCTTGCCTCTGGCACACTCCCTTGGAATTACTCTCGCCTCCAATCTGTGTCATCCATCCCGTTTTCCTTGTTTTTGCATAAGACCCTGGGAAACCTGGCGTAAATATTACGTCTCAAATTCGAAATAATCACTGCTTTCCCCTTCTTACCAGGTGATGTTTCTTTAATGCATTTAAAGTTTTATCGTGTTCATGCCTCTCACTATAAACTACATAAAATCACTTTTGCAAAACCCAACACCATTTAATTTTTCTAAAGTCTATTATTAGGAAGCCTTTTCTGTTATTATAGATCATTTACTATTTAAGTATTAGCATTTACCGTAAAAATAGGATGCTTTTAGAATGATTGTTGAAAAGCCATTTGTAAAACCCTTAGTGTTTTAAAGTGGGGTATTTGAAAGAGGCAATGTAAATTAAAAGATGCTTTTTATTTTAAAAGCATTGAAGAGTCAGTATGAATTTCAAATATGTGTGGTTCACGAGGAATAAGGGAAATATTCTACAAAGGGCCAGCATAAATGATTAATTATTAAAAGAGACTTGCCATTTAAACCTACGCTTAACTAAATATGATGGAATTTTTTTTTTAAGTCCTGAAGTTCCTCTTCTATAAAGTAGCTCTTAACTTGGGTTTTTTTGCGGAGACGGGTCAGTCATGGAGAACTAACTAGAAATAGAATAAACAGACTCTTGACCTGATGATGACTTTTGCCTGGTGAGCTTAGGATAATAATACTGTTATTTTGAAAATATACATGGGTACAGGTAGGTATCTCGCCCTTGCTCTGTCGAGCAGTCCCTGAAGGAAGGCTGGTTTCCACGTCCGGGTGGGGGTGGGGGGTGCCTGACGGCCCCACCGAGTGGGCGTGTGTGAGCCACAGGGGTCCCCCACAGCTGCTGGGATGCTCTGTGCCACAGTCCGAGCTGCTGAGCCCCCTGAAGCATCTCAGCACGTTCCTGCCCGGGACTCCCCGTGCGTGCTCACTCTCAGAAGAGGATGGTGGTGCTGACAGCCCGTGTGTCTCAGGGAGACGGTCCTTGGCCTTGCAGGGACAAACACACCCAGCCAGCCGGTCTGCACACGAATCACCCGCGGCAGTCCGTCGAGTAGCAGCCATCCCCGTCCTACTCGCCTGCACGTTGCCTTCTTACTGCCCCGAGCCAAGCACGGGAGATCAGCTTGCCCTCCTGTCTCTGCTCTTGCTAGGCCTGTGTGCCATCTTGTCCCTTAGAAGGGGCGCCCCATCACGGGTTGGGATGGGCTGGTCCTGCTTCCAGGCCACAAGGGCTGAAGCTGAGGTCGCAAGCCATTGCTCAGGTGGTCTGATTGTTGGTAGCGGGAATACGTGTGACCCTGGCTCCCAGCTGGGCCAGCTGTCCTCTTAGTTCCATTTTGAGTCTATCCAACTATCATACTGGACCCTAAATCATGGTATTAGTATAGTTTAGGTCAATCAAAAGATGTATCTGTCAAATATTTTACTCTCATAAAACCACTGACGTGTCCGTACTTAGGGTACACCAGCCCCTTCCAGGTCCGGGACGTCCTTATCCAGGTAGTCATACACACAGCGCCCATTTGCGCACAAATAATTATCTCAACTTTTGCAATAAATTGATACGTTCCAGCCTCTATCCTATTTTTTCTTTGATTGCTTATAGGGTTAGTTAAAAAAATTTTTAAACAGAAAATTTTAAAATACAGAGACACAATGCTTGTGTTTGGCCTCCTGTGTTTGTGGTAGGGAAGATGGCGGACATACTTGATGTGATAGCTTCTAAAACTATAGATGCTGCAAAGTTGAGCTTTTTTTAAAGATTTATTTATTTGAGAGCGAGAGAAAGGAGAACGAGAGGAGAGAGTGGAAGGGGGGGCAGAGGGAGAGAGGGGGAGGGAGGGGCAGAGGCAGAGAGTGGGAGGGAGGGGCAGAGGGAGAGAGACTTACAAGTAGACTCCATGCTGAGCACAGAGCCTGACACGGGGCTTGATCTCACAACCCTGAGATCATGACCTGAGCTGAAATCAAGAGTTGGACACCTAACCGACTGAGCCACCCAGGCGCCCCAAACTTGAGCTTTTAAAAACTATGCATATTTTGAAAAGATGTTCAACGGAATGCATTCTATTTGAGCATTTAATTTGGTTTATGCTGTGAGAATTACCCTTAGGTGATGCCTCTGAGTAAGTTAACCTTGCTCGGTGTTCGAGTTTAAAACAAAGGAAAGCAACACAGAGTTTCACTTTGCCCTCCAAATAAAATTGTTAGCAGCTTCCTGCAAGACGTGCAAGTGTTAAGGGGGGCAAATGGCACCCGAGCTGCCGGTTCCCTGCAACGCAAGCCGTAGCATCGTTGCGGAAAGTTTGAGAGGCTGATTCTCCACAGGTGTACAGCATGAAACGATTGCATATCCGGACACTTGTTTTCCCTTTGATGCTCCCCCTGGCCTATTTGAAGGCCGATTTACGGCAGAGTTCAACTCTCCTTCCTCCCAAAGATGATATGTTATTTTACCGCCCAAACTTCGGCTTCTCTTGACCCCCGCTATGGCATTTGGTTAGGGTAGGGCAGGAGAAAAGCTGCGGTTGTTTTCCACATGTACAGACTGAGATTAATCTGTGGCTCTCCATCCTCTCTCTTTTCCCCGTGCATAAACTAAAGTGAATCACACATCAGTTTGTTTCCAAACAAATTGGAAGATCTGATGATGGTGTGGACTTAATATTTCTATGAATTGCTTCATATTTGAAATATTGAAACTTCAGGTCTTTAGACATGGACTAATCCCACTATTCACAAATCAGTTTTTTAGCATTTTGAATACAGTGAGTCAGTACCTTACTAGTATATGAACACAATTTCCATGGGTACTGATGACCTCTAGGAGAGATACCAACTGATGGTTAATTATTGACTCATTGGAACACTATGTCTAGCTACATTTGCATAGCATTTAGACTCCTGACGGAAACGTTTTTACAGGAATAATCAAATGTCATGATTTGCTACTGCTGATTCTGATCATTGAGTTTTCTATCATTATGTTTTCCCATTGTTTTTAAATCATTGAGTTTCACCACAATACTTGTGATGCTTTAAAAACAATGCACCGATATTATCACATATTGTGGGATGATCACATTTTTGACAGAATAGTGTGGATTTCAGATGACTCGTTTGTTCAAAAATAATTGAAAGAAGAAAAAGTCTAGTCATTTCCATAATAAAGAACACACCGAGGAGACATGCATTCTGCACATCTGGTTACACAACTAGGGTGCTGGGTGAGCTCCCAAGCACTGCGCAGAAGGCCTGGCAGTGGGGGCTTGGGGTCCCGGGGGCTGGGGGGCCAAGCCCCATCTGCACACAATTACAGCCGAGTGCTGGAGTTACTTCCAATCAAGGGAGCCAGCTGACCCTAATGCAAAGCAGATGGACCATTTCTCAACATGCAAAGGGTAAGATTGTTGTACATAATAATCGACGAGATTGTTAAATGAAGAAATGCAAACTGACATGGCTCTGATGGTCATTATGTTCGATTAAGGCTCTAGGTAGTTGAAGGATACTCAAGATTAAAACCTTGCAGCAAGGGGATTCAGATGCTTGCTTTGCTGCTGATGAGTTCAGGTTGCTTCAGCGGCTGGAGTATTTACTGGAGGTGCATTTACGCTAGAGGATTATGCATAGGACAGCCAAGGAGAAACTTGCACTGGAAATCTCAGAGAACGGGCTTTATGAGTTTAAAGCACTAAGCTGCCATCTTCTCTTTACGGTGCACTAAGAAACCACGTGAATCACAAAATGTTCTCAGAGGCCACCCTCTCTTCACACACCCCCTCAGTAGAAAGTGTGTCTAGGACCCGCCTGGAATGCAAACCGGATATGAACCAATCATTTTGTCGAGCTTTGGTAGCTTTTTTTTCTTGACCTAAGTCTTTAGAGAGCTAGTTCTGGATTAAAACTCATCAACACACTTTGGGATTTCCATCCTATCAGGAATTGTCAGGAATTGGTCTTTTTTTTTTTAAACTGGGAAAGTTCTGTCAGTGCAATAAAACTATTCATTCCATCTTGTAAACTTACTGATAGAGTTTTATTGTATTATTATTTAGTATTTGCTTTTTAAAAAATGTAAGGGTAAGTGAATACCTGTGTTAAGTTTTCTCCTTTCCCTAAGGTGAGTGCCCTCCAGCAGAGAGGGGTCGGCCATTGGTGCAAAGATTGGGTCACTGTTTCTGTATCCTCTTCTTTCCGCAGATACGTTCTAGAGTGCGGAATGGGACAGTAGGTTGGCTGTTCTTCAGCAGACATTTCCTGAGCACTTGCTCTTGCAGAATGTGCTCTCCTGGGCCACTGTGAGGTGTGGGAATAAAGGAGACCTGTTCCTTGAGGGCTAGGGTCCGTAGCTTCATGGGGAAGAGAGACATCATCCAAGGAGCTTCTGTAGTAAGAGACAGTTCAACGCACATTTGGACAGTTACAGGCTGAGCTTCGAAGAGGGGGCAGAAGAATCCAACCTAATTTCCAACTGGGAGGTTTAGGGTAAGTAGGTCTGAGCAGTGGCATTCACTCTGAGCCTGGAAGTATTCACGTATCCGTAGTCAGAAAGTAGGAGGAAAGACATTCCAGACTGAAAGTATCTAGTAGTAGTAGGAAGTACCTGGCAGTGTGTTTCTAGAAAAGGTGGGTTTAAAAGCAGGTTGTGTGACCAATATGTACCACGAGGTAAGCGGAAAGATCATAAATTTGGTCTGATGTGATGTGGAGGACGTGACACGTGTTCATTCCACAGAAAATGGGGTGCAGTTGAATAGCTGGAGAAGGTGGAGGAGACCATCTGTCCTCTACTTTAGGAAAATCATCATCACAAAATACCGTGAAGAGGGAATTAGAGAAAAGGGTGGGCTTGCGGGGACGTGGGATGGGAGGCTTCCTGAAATGACACTCTGCAGTCCAACAAAGAGATGTTGGTGGGTCCAAGAACAAGTGGAAAGGTCTCTTAGCTATCCAAAAGCATAGAGTGGTCATGAAGCTATCACTGGGGGAGGGGACACCCTCAGGAGGGGCATTTGAGTCGGGACTTGTGTGGAGAAGTTCTTTCGGTAGTGGGGCCTGCAGCTCAGATGGGAATGGGCACAGATTTGTGAGTCCCTTGCTTAGCAGAAATACTCCAGGCACAAAAGTAAACGGGACTCCTAATGTAAGGTTGTGCACCGCGAAGAAAAGTTTACGACTTGAACTTAGAAAAAACCCTCGTGCTGCGGCAGAAAGGGAGACCTGTTCCACACCAAGCAGGGACATCAAGGACATTTGAATCAGAGTCTTTCAGGATTGTGCAGAGCTGTGAAAACTGCCCCTTTTCTCTCCTTTTGAAAGTGGCTCTTCCTAATTCAAGATGTAGAAAGAAGCCGAAAACTCAGAGAGGAACCTGAGATCAGGTCATTGCTCCTGGCAACTTAATCTTCCCCAGACTCAATTACTTGATGTTCCCCATGTAGATAATTAACCCTTCACCCACAGCACAAACTCAGTGAGGACGTGTCCAGGCACCAATTTTATAGTAAAGGGCAACGTACAGAGTCAACCCATCAGCAAATCAAAGCAGAGACTGCAGTGGGATGGGGAATGCGTTTTCTAGAAAGTATTCTGTAGAACTCACTGACCTTTGACCAGATTTATTTGCTGCTCCTTTAAGACTGTGCAACTCCCTCCACCTAAATGTGTCAGGACTTGAGACTCCCCACCTCCTCCCCAAACAAGACTTAGCATGAATTAAGATCCAAGTGAAAATCAGAGTTGGTACTCGGTGACATCGCTAACATGCATCAAATAGTACCAACATTTTGTATTTGCACATTTTTCAATGTCTTTTCTGCTTGAATGGAAGAAATGGAAAAAGAAGTAGAGCATTATCAAATACCATGTTCAAATGAGTTGTCAGTGCGTTGGGCAGATGCTCATTCTCAGGAGAAACTGATACGAATAGCAGCTGGGGTTCCAGGTTCTGATGGCATCGAACATCACGGTGCCATGGACTCTACCTAATCCAGTTAGTTTTACATACATACGAGTATAGAACTTCGTTCTAAACTTCCCTTTCCTTAATGGCTATGATTTTGAACTCTGGTTCTTCAGTCTGTCAGTCGCCAGACCACTTGCACGCACCACAGGGGGGGAAAGAAATCAGAATGATTAACTACTTGAAAATGAGACACCTGTGAGGGACTTTTGAAGCAAGGCGGTCACTCATGCCAAAACCAAACAGTATAAATTCATCATTTTCCAATTTTAAACCGTAAGTCTATAGGAGAGGGCCCTGCAATCAGTTGGGGAATGCAAAAGATCTGTGCTTTGGAAATCATTCTTGTAAGGTCTGACCACATGAGAGCATTTAGCCTTATAATTCTGCCCTTGAAAGGCAAACTTTCGGAGGTGGGAGAGGCGAGCAAACTGGGGAAGCATGTTATAATGACCTTAGGCTCTTATCAGTAGAAACAGAGCGTGGTAAAGGGGGACAGGGTCTTCAAAGCCTCCGTGGCTGTGGCCTCATGTGAATTCCTTGTTAACCTCCAGTGATGTAACTCAGTAACTTTGTTTATTCCGAAGAACGCACATAAAAGAATTGCTCTCGAGATGACTGGGGAGAAAAAAAATAGTTGTCCCGAAACAGGACCCGATGTAGAGCCTCTTTAAAAAATGGGAAGCTAGAAGAAAAGGAGGTGATGCTCTTGAAATGCGGCAGGCTGACCTCCGCGTCGGAAGGTTTCAAACTTGAACCCTGCCGGGGAGGAACCACTTTTCTGGAGGGAAGTGAGGATCAGTGGTCGTGATATGAGATGGGCCGTTTCTAAAGGTTTGCTTCCTCAGCTTGACCGGCCCTGGCGTCACCCGCCGATTGTTTTCATTGCCGTGCTCCTGTTTCAGGGGTCCCCCTGAAGCCCAGAAAAGAGTTACGGTTTACAGAACTGCAGTCTGGACAGCTGGAGATTAAGTGGTCCTCGAAATTCAATATTTCCATCGAGCCTGTGATCTACGTGGTACAAAGAAGATGGAATTATGGAATCCATCCTAGCGAAGACGATGCCACCCAGTGGCAGACGGTAGCCCAGGTAAGTGGTTCACGGACTCCCTCCCCTCCCTCCCCCTTGAGGTAACGTCTATCGCCCTCCTGCAGGTAGAAAATTAACTTGCTGTGCCTCAGCCGAGATAGCCTGACTACCCAAAGGACTTAGTCAGACGGGGACATCATAGCCCACGCATCTACAGAAGACAGGATGAGCTCCGTAGGTACAACCCGGTGCGACGAGGAGCTTGACTCTTGGATTCCTTTGCTCAAAATACATGTGCAAGGGAGATCATTTTCTGAGTGCTCGCATTTATTTCCTCCAAGAAGTCTATTTCCTTGAGATAAACTTAAAACCGACCCGAGTAAGAGAAATGCAACAGCATTAGGACGAGTTCATATGATAGTGGATCATCTAAATGACTTCTAGTTTTCTTCCACATCGAAGCCTTCGTTCTGCACAAGGACTTGAGTAGCATGGAGTATGAGTCCTATCACCCAACTAGCTAGTGGGGGGGACCCAGCCAGTCCTTGCAAAGTGTTTCCTGTGTCCCGGGCAGCTCACACACTAACACCCCACCTGCATGGTAGCAGTCCTGGGGTTTATCTTAGCACTGCGGCTTCCTTTTCTGCCTTGCCGATGAGAAAAGCAAAATATTTTCTTTCTTTTTAAGAGCTGCTAAATGGACTACCAGCTGCAAGAAACCTACACGGTTTTAGAGAAAGAACAGATTCTCAGTGTGAAACTGCCTCCTGCCCTCAGCAGCCGCAGTGCCTTCTCCACATGTGTCTGTGGGCAGAAACCCTGACCTGGCGGGGATCGGGTCATTTTGCTCGAGAGATTCCCATTAGTCCTTTTCAGTAACTGCGAAACACATTTCAGTGTACAGGTGTTGGCAGGAGGAATTTGGTTCTTTTCTAGTAGTAGTAACTCAAAGAGGATAAACACTAAAATAATTTAGAGACCCCAAAAGAAAGGGACAATTTGATGTACAAGAAACAAATTAGTGGCAAAACAAAACAAAACAAAAACCCAACCACTGGTCAAATAAATTTAGTGATTCTATTTCATACGTATTTCCTTAAAGTTCACTTTAATAAAACCTAAAGATGTCTGGCATACAGCCTAAAAGTTTATTTGATTTATGTGGTATGCTTCCTTAATGGTATGATCTCACTTACAAATTTTCCAAATTATTTAAGATTTATGAAAGCAAATGACAATAAGAGCCGCTCTTATATCCCTTCTGTTTTGGAGAGAGGAAAGGCTTTTAATTATTTTTATTATTTTCACTGGTTCATGCCTTCCTTTGTCTTCCTTCCACCTTCCTTTCTTTGTCTGCTAAATGCTGTGGGGATCATGGTGACTTCAGTGTTTTAACCTCAAGGGCACTAAGAGTAAATGTTGAAGTCCGTGAACTAGTCGCCTCACATTCTGCCAAACGAGGTAGAAAGCCCCCTTGAAGAGTTCAGAGCCTTCCCTTTTAGATGTTGAAGCAAAGGTGACAGCCCCTCTCAAGAGGTTACTTCAGCGTAGGGTTTGGGAGGGTTTGGGTTCCATTTCACTTGCCGGTGTTCATGCCCTGAGCGTGGCTTTGCAACTCCAGCAGGAGTGGCAGCCAAACTAGGCATCTTCCCTGGTGTCCAGTTTTATTCCTGCGGACATTTTCTTGGACAGATGTCTACACACCTCGCCTTGGAGGAACACGACCGGGTCCTTGCAGATCTTACCCGGTTTACTCAAATAAGGAAGAAAGGCTTGCATTGCCATGTACTTCCGGAAGTTGTTAGCGCTCTTTAAAGCGCATGGGTCCTCATACCGACTTCCAAGGCCCTATTTGGCAAGCACGTTCGAGAGGCATTTTCTTTCTGCAACCGGCAGATGATTTCATCTTCTTGCCTATCATGGAATGATCAGCTCACGTATACGTTCGCTCAGATGTGTAATTGAGTGATGAAGCCCCTCGTGGGTTTAATGCTACATTAAGTCATCCGACCTAAGTAGCCCAGGCATGTTCCTAGCGTTGGCTCCAGAGATCTTTAACTCTTTGGGGTGCGGTCCCTAGGAGTGGAATGAAACACCTGAAATGCCCTAGAAGTTCCCTGACCCCCGGCCGCTCTTCTCATAACTGAGCACGATCACCGCACTTACCCACAAGGGCGCAGGGAGGTCGGGGCGGCGTTGTGCCGACTGACGAGGTGCTGTGCTTTTCAGACGCACCCGACTGGCACGTCTGGGTAAAAGGGTTCTCTGTGCTCTGTGACATTCCTCCGCAGACCACGGATGAGCGGGTCCAGCTGACCGACGTACGACCCAGCAGGTGGTACCAGTTCCGAGTGGCGGCTGTCAACGTGCACGGGACCCGAGGCTTCACGGCCCCCAGCAAACACTTCCGCTCCTCCAAAGGTCGGTGTCGCGTCCCTGACCCCACGCTCACCTTGCTGCCGGGCACACCCGCGCTGTGGAGCCTTGGTGGCGCCCTGTCCGTATGTGTGGCTGGTCAGCACGTGGCTTGCCGTTCTTCGCCGACGGGACCACGTGTGTGTGAGAGGAAGGTTCGGAACGTCACCGGCCTTTCGCCTTCACAACATCGCACAAGATAACAGAACGGGGTTTTCTCAGCTCGGAAGGGGTGGTTCCGTCTTTGCCTCGAGATGTTCTGCCTTAGTCACCTTTCAGTTAATTTCTGGAGGGAAGAGTTTGGTTTGAGCTCCTGGAGACTGTGCAGCTTCTCTTGAAACGATGGTTATGTCGAGTGTGAATTAATCTCTCTTGCTTCGTACCAGCCAGACTTTGAACCCCGGGTCCCCTGTGTCATTGCTCTTAATTCTGTTCGGTTCTTACCTCGTTGCTATTGGAAAGCCTCTGGCATCCCGTGACTGCTGATGCTGTGACATCTCGGGTGAGTTTCGTGTGTGCGAGTGGAACTAGGGGGCGGACGTCCCTGGACTAGACACAAACAGTGCATCCGCGTGTATTTCCTCCAGGTGTGCTTAGTGGGCTGTGTGCCTTCTGTGTTCAGTCCACGTCTGCTGCGAGAGCCCACGTCACAGCCAGGGGCTGGGCAGCTCATGCGCGTACTCCCCGACGGTTCTCCTGGTACGGGGACGCTAATTTAGATTGATTTTAAGCAAAATGCTTTGTGATGTTAATGAAGGATGGAAGACGGGTCCCATCAGTCCTATGTCTTTCATTTCGGGAGTGTCTGAGCTGGCTGCCATCACTTCCCATTTCTGTTGCGCGACGGGGGAAACGTATGTGTTGATGCCAGTCTGTCCGTTTCTCACTACGTCATATTGCAACCCCTTTGTCGATGTCATTTTTGGTCTCAAAAGTGGAAAGCTTGCAACCGAAGTCATTTAATATTGGATTCTGTTACACCTTACGTTGTACACTTTCAACTCTTTTTTTTTTAAAAGACCTTTTAGGAAAGGAAAGGTGCCTTTTTTTTTTTTCCCCCTCCATGGAGGCAAACACACGAACCAAATTTAAAAGTGCAATCACAGACATCAAACCTTGTCTTGAGACTGTGTCTCCAATTGGTCTGATGATTTAGAGAGGCCAGGGAAATAAATCATTAACAGTGTGTTCAGAGGCGAGGATCCGTAAGAGGCTTGAGAGCTCTTCACCTTGGTTTCATGGTTCACATGCGATGCAGGCACGATGTGGTCAAATGTGTTACCATCTGTTCGGTTGCCTGGTCTGGTGTTTTCAGGTCACGGCTGCAGGAACAGCAGACAGAAGCCGTTGCCAGCCCTTTGGAGACAGATGTGGAATACCTTTAGGGGTTGGGCGGGATCTGGGCAAAGCTCCACTGACAGTTCCCAGGGCCGGTCATGTGGCTGCCAACTGCCTGGGAGGCATCCATTCTGAGCAACTCGCAAGGCCTTGCTGTCCCGGGATGCCCCCAGTATATCTGAGCACCTGAATAGTCTAGAACTAGAGCTGCACCCCTCAAATTTAAATGGGCTTTTGCTGAATGAGAATGCACCGCGTTGGGGAAGCATAGCATTCACCATTACGCTGTTGTTCTATTTCCTGATTTTCCAAACACACCCAACACCGAGCATTCCAGACTCTAGTCCTTGCGGTTCTTGCAAACCAAAAATGTCTGCACGGAATACACAGGAGATTCTACTCTTTTTCCAGTGAAGATGCATCACGGAATTATGGAAATGGAATAGATCCGCTAAATGGCTGGCGACATCTCCTCTAGGATTTGTCTAAAGGGAGCCTGACCATTGACAAGATGTCACCACGTCCTTCCTCGCCTTATTCAGATCTCATCAAATGGAGAAATGGGCCTTAATGGGAAAACGGTGTTTAACAACCTTACTGAAATACAATTATCGTACCATTAAATTCATCCCTCTTACGCGTACAGTCCAGTGATTTGTGCTATTCACGACTTATGCATCACCATCGTCCACTTGTAGAATCCACCAAGAGCCTCCAGTGCCTTCCTGGGGAAACTTTAAAGTAGAGACAAAGTTAGTTTTGAGTCTTCACCTTCCCATCACTCATGTTTCATTCCCTTTTGTATTAAGTATTTGTTAAGCTCCTATGTGTGTCAGACACTGGTCTAGGCATGGGCGATAATAAATGAATGAAAGGACAAAAATGTCTGCTTTTGTGGACACACACACTTACGCCAATTGCGGGTATGAGGAAGCAGTCAACAAGATTAATAAGTAACATACTGTTGTACAGTAGGGTAGGTAGTGACAAATGATGATAAAAATAAAGATTAGAACAGAGGAGATGTTGGGGGGAGTATTTTGTTGTTAGTTTTAGGGAGGGTAGACCAAGGTTTTGCTGAGAAAGAGAGGTTTGTCTAAAGGAGGTGAAAGAGTCAGCCTTGCACCAATTTGAAAGGAGAGCATTCCGGTTCCTGGAAGCAGTCGGTGCAAAGGTCCTGAGGCAGGAGTGAGCTTGCCGTGTTCATGGAACAGCACAGGAGCCCGAGGGTTGAGCTGTGGAATAGGGCAGGGGAGCTGGAGATGAAGCCTGAGAGGAAGGAGGGAGGTGGGGCGATGGAACCATTCTAAAAGTGGGTGATGTGGGCTGCCCAACTCAGAAAAGTCATTACACTGTTCATGTAATGTGAGTGAGTTTTATGGAATGGAAGTTAAGTCCCAATAAAGTCACTTAAACAGTTTTTCCCCAGTAAGCCCCCTTTCTCCACTTGAAGAGATTGAGTAAATGGGGAAAGATGTGGTGCCATCTTGCAAATGGTTACGTATCCTTTAGACAAGTCCTGCAGGAAATCTTTGACCGTCTGGCAGAATTACGACACTCCCATCATTCCACCATGCATGTTCGCTGAACCTACAGTAGAACCTCTTACGAATTCTGCACCAGCACTTGCGGTTTGCTGGGGTGCCAGACCCATAGTCTAGAATGTTCCTCACAGTGAGATGTACGGAAGTATGGATACGGGGCGTATTTGTAAAACCGGGAAATAACATTGCACCAGAGGCTGCCCTGTTTCCAAAAATGGTGCATTTTCATTTAGTAAAAGCCCTTTCATTCCTGCTGTGCCCCAGAACTGAAACTGTACCGTTGTAAGTCCTCTAGTGCTTTAAAATGGCTTTGAGAAAGATTGATTGCTTCTCAAATAATAGTCTGTGCAAAGGGTAAAAAGTGTATTTGAGTTGGGTGGAGGGCCAGCCTTGGTAATTTAAGTCTGGGTCAAGGGAAAAGGGAAGGGATTTTTTTTTTTCATCTACAATAAACACTTATGAAAATAAAAGGAAAATTAAATAGAGAAAGAAAAAAAAACTTGATAAAATGGGTTTCATTTCGTTTACGCTTTCTGCCTGGTATTCATTGGCCATAATCCTGATTTTCATGGAAAAGCCAAAATTCTTGTCATTTTCTTCTTAATGGTTCTGTTTAAATACAAAATTAGTCTGTGGTTTGCCAGGACGGATTGGCTATTAACTAAGTTAATTTCCTTTTAAGTCGTGTATTTTCCCATAACTTCATCCTCACCCCTTAGAATGCTGATTTTTACGGAAAATTCAGAGTTGTACATGGACTGGTAACTCAGTTTCATGTTTTCCTCCTCCCGGTGAATACCATCTTTGTTGTCAGCCCCCAGAAGACATGCATGATTATAAATTGGAGACAATCAGCCATTCCTGCTGGCAGCAGAAAGCCCAGAATAGAGGCTGGGATAATTTCTGTATTTACTTATTTAAATTCTCTACTACCTTTCCCTAGTACTTAAGAAGGAAAATCGTCTTCAACGTTAAAAACTCCAATTACAAGTAAGTCAGTATCCTAATGTCTCTTTCTGGTTTTTGCCTCTTTCTGTGGAAACTAGAAATGGTAACGCTTCTCCACGGAGAGTTCCCTTCCTGGGTCATTGTTAGGATGAAGCGCCTTTCTAGCTACCAAGCTGCCAGATCGTAGGGTCCACCGAAACTCTTCCGTGCTATTGCCCTGGAACACAGCGAAGGAGGCCTGCTGCGTAGGAACACGAGGGTCGCTATGCCCATCTGTGCACGTGAGCCTGACCCATGCACGTTTCCTGCAGCGATGGGGCTTCTCCAGAGGCCCATGCAGGTGAAAGCTTTGAGTGGAGGTGGCTTATTTCGGAGGAAATCCAGCAAACTGGGTAGGTGGGAGGTGAAGGAAGACGGGGAACAGAAGGAAGAGGATGAAAAGGTGTGTTGTCATATTGGCTGCCACTGTGGGTGACCAGAACTCCTTCCCGTGGGGACTCGGGCAGCGGATGCAGCCTGTCTCCCAGCACATCTGTCCTGCAGGTGGGCAGAACCTGCTCGGGGCCCGGGGGCGAAGGCGCATTTACAAGCTGAGCTGTGTGTGTCCTGAAGTAGTACAGAGCAGGGGCGAAGATTTGGGCCCCTGGGGGGGTCTGCAGTGGTTTTACTCCACACCCACAGCACTCCTATTAGGACATTTGCAGTCGTGGGTTAAAATCCATGTATGGACAGTTCCGTGAAAGGAATGCCCGCATCACTAGAGTCCCAGGCTGCTTCCCGTGTCGGACGGCGGTAGTCCCTGCAGACACGCAGCCTTTCTAGCCTCTCTTGTGGCCTCTCCCCTGCTCCCACCCTGTCCCAGAAGCTGGCAAGCTTCCTGTGATGTCTGTAGGATTTCGAACGAGCAGAGCCCCCAGACGTGCGAGTGAACCACCCAGAGGGACAGTCGTACCTACACAAAACGTACTTTTTGGCTTCCGATGCACATTTGCTTCTCTTTTTCAGCAGATCGGTGTTTCACCTTTCCTTGATCATGTCGATGATTATCAGCAAAAAATGTGTATGTGTTGCGTGCGCAGCTTTGGAAATATATATTGCTAAGTCCTCGTACCTGCACCAAAATACTCTTTACGAGACTGCCGAATTTGGGAAAGAGTGCATCTGCCTTTCGGCATG